TTAAAGGGTAGATGATTTGGTGATGTCATAATGTATGAAGTAGGAAATAATCTGAGAATAGTAGAATACTGATGTTAAAGTGTAGATAATTTGGTGATATCATAATGTATAAATTGGGAAATAATCTGAGGATAGTGGAATATTGTTGTTAAAGTGTCGATAATTTGGTGATATCGTAATGTATGAATTTGGAAATAATCTGAGGAGAGTGGAATATTGCTGATCAAGGGCAGATAATTTGGTGATGTCATAATTTTTGAACGGGGAAATAATCCGAGGATAGTGGAATATTGCTGTTAAAGTGTAGATAATTTGGTGATGTCATAATGTATAAATTGGGAAATAAACAGGGTAGTGAAATATTGCTGTTAAAGGGTAGATAATATGGTGATGTCATAATGTATGAATTGGGAAATAATCTGAGGAAAGTGGGATATTGCTGTTAAAGTGTAGATAAATTGATGAAGTCATAATGTATGAGTTGGGAAATAAACTGAGTATAGTGGAATATTGTTGTTAAAGGGTAGATAATTTGGTGATGTCATAATGTATGAATTGAGAAATAATCTGAGGATAGTGGATTATTGCTGTTAAAGGGTAGATAAGTTGGTGATATCGTAATCTATGAATTGGGAAATAATCTGAGGATAGTGGAATATTGCTGATCAAGCGTAGATAATTTGGTGATGTCATTATTTATGAAGTAGGAAATAATCTGAGGATAGTGGAATATTGCTGTTAAAGGGTTGATAATTTGGTAATATCGTAATGTATGAATTGGGAAATAAACTGAGGAGAGTGGAATATTGCTGTTCAAGTGCAGATAATTTGGTGATGTCATTATGTATGAATTGGGAAATAATCTGAGGATAGTGGAATATTGCTATTAAAGGGGAGATAATTTGGTGATGTCATAATGTATGAATTAGGGAAATAATCTGAGGATAGTGGAATATTGCTGTTAAAGTGTAGATAAAAATATAATTTGGTGATGTCATAATGTTTGAATTGGGAAATAATCTGAGGATAGTGGAATATTGCTG